TCCCAGCATCACTTTTTGAAGAGATTCTCCTTGTTCCAGGGATTGAATTTAGCTCCTTTGTTAAAGATAAGTTGGTTGTGGATTGATTTCTGGAGTTTCGTTCTTTTTTTTCTGTTATTTTCCTCTCTCTGGCAGATTTAGAGAGACGGAGAGAAAGGTCGTCCTTCTGTTGGTTCACCCTCCAAATGGCCACTACAGGCGGCACACTGCGCCGATCCAAAGCCAGGAGCCAGGTGCTTCCTCCTGGTCTCCCATGTGGTTGCAGGGCCCAAGCATTTGGGCCATCCTCCACTGCCTTCCCGGGCCACAGCAGAGAGCTGGACTGGAAGAGGAGCAACTGGGAGAGAATCCAGCACCCCAACCAGGACTAGAACCTGGGGTGCCAGCGCCACAGGAGGAGGATTAGCCAAGTGAGCCGTGGAGCTGGCCTCTGGCATTTCTATTCTGTACCGTTGGCCTAAATACTGTTTTTTCTTTTTTTGTAGTAGGCTGTTTTGATTATAACTGCCCTGTAGTATGTTTTGAGATCTGGTATTGTGATTCCTCCAGTTTTGTTTTTGTTGTTTAAGGTTATTTTAGTTATTTGCAGTCTCTAATGTTTCCCTATGAATTCTAGCATCATTTTTTCTAGATCTGAGAGGAATGTCTTTGGTATTTAGATTGGGATCATGTTGAATCTGTAAATTGCTTTCGGTAGTATAGACATTTTTATAATATTGATTCTTCCAATCCATGAACATTCTCAATTTCTCCCATTTTTTTGTCTTCTTCTATTTATTTCTTTAATGTTTCATTATTTTTATCATCAAGACTTTTGACCTCCTTGGATAAATATATTCTAAGGCATTTAATTTTTATAGCTATTGTAAAGGGGATTGATATTAAGTGTTCTTTCTCAGCCCTGGCATTGTCTGTGTATACAAAGGCTATTGATTTTTGTGTGCTAATTTTATATCCTGCCCCTTTACCAAACTCTTTTATGAGCTTCATAGTCTCTTGGTGGAATCTTTTATATCCCCTATGTACAGAACCATGTCATCTGCCAATAGGGATAATTTGGCTTTCTCCTGTCCAATTTGTATTCCTTTGATTTCTTTTTCTTGCCTAATGACTCTGGCAAAACTTTCAGGACTATATTGAATAGGTGAGATTGGGCATCATTGTCTGGTTCCATTTCTTGATGGAAATGTTTTCAACTTTTCCCCATTCAAGAAGATGCTGTCTGTGGGTTTGTCATAGATTGCCTTGAATGTATTGAGGAATGTTTATTCTATACCAATTTGCTTAAAGTTTTCATCATGAAAGTATCTTGTATTTTATCAAATGCTTTCTCAGTATTTATTGAAATAATCATATGGTTTTTAATCTTCAGATTGTTAATGTGATGTATCACATTTACTGATTTGCGAATGTTGAACCCTCCCTGCATTCCAGGTATAAACACCAATTGGTCTGGGTGAGTGATCTTTTTTCTGTGTTGTTGGATTCAATTAGCTAGTAATTTTTTGAGGATTTTTGCCTCTGTGTTTTCAACAGTATTGGTCTGTAGTTCTCTTTCTCTGTTGTATCATTTTCTGGTTTAGGAATTAAGGTGATGCTGGCTTCATAGTAGCTTTTGAGAATTCCCTCCTTTTCAGTTGTTTTGAGTAGCTTGAGAATAATTGGAATTAGTTCTTCTTTAAATGTCTGGTAGAATTCAGCAATGAAGCCATATAGTCTTGGGCTTATCTTTTTTGGGAGTCTCTTTATTACAGATTCAATCTCCATGTTGGTTATTTGTCTTGTCTTTTAATCCATTAAACCAGTTTATGTATTTTAATTTGAGAATTTAGGTCATTTATATTCAAGGTTATTACTGATATGTGATAATTTTGTCTTGCCAATTTTCCATTTGTATTCGTATGTTTGTTTTGAATTTCCTTTGTGCTCTTACTAGGAGATTTTGTGCCCTCACATTTATTTATTTATTTATTTAACAGGCAGAGTGAACAGTGAAAGAGAGAGAGAGAGAGAAAGGTCTTCCTTTTGCCGTTGGTTCACCCTCCAATGGCTGCCGTGGCTGGCGCACTGTGGCCGGCGCATCGCGCTGATCCGAAGCCAGGAGCCAGGTACCGCCTCCTGGTCTCCCATGCTTGTGCAGGGCCCAAGGATTTGGGCCATCCTCCACTGCACTCCCGGGCCACAGCAGAGAGCTGGCCTGGAAGAGGGGCAACCAGGACAGAATTTGGTGCCCCGACCGGGACTAGAACCCAGTGTGCCAGCGCTGCAGGCAGAGGATTAGCCTATTGAGCTGCAGCACCGGCCTCACGTTGTTTTTTGATGCTGAGTAACTCTGTTTCTGTGTGTAGCACATCCTTATGTATCATTGTAAGACTGGACAAGTGCGGACAAATTCTTTCAATTTCTGTTTGTTATGGAAGGTCTTTGTTTCACTTTCATTTATCAATGAGAACTTCTCTGGGTATAGTATTTTGGGTTGTCAATTTATTTTTTCCTTTAGGACTTTGACTATGTCTCTCCATTCTCTTATGCTGCATTGTTTCTGAAGAAATCAGCTGTGTATCTAATTTAAGATCCTTGAAATATAATTTGGCATTTCTCTCCTGAACATTTTAAGATCTTTTCTTTATATTTTACTTTTGAAATTTTGACTATAATGTGTCATAATGAAGATCTATTCTGATCATATCTGTTAGGAGTTCTGTGTGCTACCTGTATTTAGATGTCCATATCTTTTTCCATATTTGAGAATATTTCTGCTATTATTTTGCTGAATAGACCTTCTAGTCCATCCTGTCTTTTCAATGTTCAGGAAATCCTTAAACACATATGTTTGGTTGCTTGATTTTTTTTAACTTTTATTTAATGAATATAAATTTCCAAAGTACAGCTTATGGATTACAATGGCTCCCCCGCCCCCCATAACTTCCCTCCCATCTGCAACCCTCACCTTTCCCTCTCCCTCCCCCCTTCCATTCACATCAAGACTCATTTTCAATTCTCTTTATATACAGAAGATCAGTTTAGCATATATTAAGTAAAGATTTCAACAGTTTGCACCCACATAGAAACACAAAGTGAAAATACTGTTTGAGTACTAGTTATAGCATTAAATCTCAATGTACAGCACATTAAGGACAGAGATCCTACATGAGGAGTAAGTGCACAGTGACTCCTGTTGTTGACTTAACAAATTGACACTCTTGTTTATGGCATCAGTAATCACCCTAGGCTCTTGTCATGAGCTGCCAAGGCTATGGAAGCCTTTTGAGTTCACTGACTCTTATCATGTTTAGACAAGGTCGTAGTCATAGTGGAAGTCCTCTCCTCCCTTCGGAGAAAGGTACCTCCTACTTTGATGACCTGTTCTTTTCACTGGGATCTCACTCGTGGAGATCTTTCATTTACATTTTCGTTTTTGTTTTAGTTTTAGTTTTTGTTTTTGCCAGAGTGTCTTGGCTTTCCATGCCTGTAATACTCTCATGGGCTTTTCAGCCAGATCCGCATGCCTTAAGGGCTGATTCTGAGGCCAGAGTGCTGTTTAGGACATCTGCCATTCTATGGGTCTGCTGTGTATCTCACTTCCCATGTTGGATCGTTCTCTCCCTTTTTTATTCTATCAGCTAGTATTTGCAGACACTAGTCTTGTTTATGTGATCCCTTTGGCTCTTAGTCCTATCATTATGATTAATTGTGAACAGAAATTGATCACTGGGACTTGTGAGATGGCATTGGTACATGCCACCTCGATGGGATTGAATTGGAATCCCCTGGTATGTTTCTAACTCTACCGTTTGAGGTAAGTCAGCTTGAGCATGTCCCGAATTGCACATCTCTTCCCTCTCTTATTCCCACTCTTATATTTAACAGCGATCACTTTTCAGTTAAGTTTCAACACTTGAGAATAACTGTGTATTGATTACAGTATTCAACCAAAAGTATTAAGTAGAACAAACAAAAAAAAATACTAAGGGGGATAACGTATTAAGTTGTTCATCAGCAGTCAGGGCAAGGGTTGATCAAGTCACCATTTTTCATAGTGTTCATTTCACTTTAACAGGTTTGTTCTCCCTGATCGGTGACAACTAACTGAGCACCAAAATGGTTGCTTGATATTATTACATAAATCTTGAACACTTTTTTCATTTTTCTTCTTTTTGTCTAAGATATTTAAAAGTATTTTTTTAGCTCAGATATGCTTTCTTATGTCTCCCCACTCTTTTGTGAAATGTTTTACTGAATTCTTTGTTTACAACATTTCAGTTTCATTCCTCTTCCATATATGTATATCCTGGGAGAATTTCTCATACATGTCATGTATGTATTGCTTTAACTCATGCATTTCATTAATGTTTTCATGTTCACATTCTAATATTGGAGTGTTGTGTTCCTTTTTGGTGAATCAGTTTTTCCTTATGTCTTTGTGTTTCTTATATTTCTGTTTATCTTCAGGCATCCATCAAAATGTTTGTTGGTTTTCACTTCTGAGGGCTTTTATCTTTGAGATATGCCTCTATGACTTAGTGGAAGACCTGTTCTTTCAGTGGATATTCTGAGGAGTGTGCTGGCTAATGCTGTGTGGCCAATGCTCAAGGATGGGACAGAGAGTGATGCCCAGTTTCCGTCCAAGCTTTAAGTTGTGTCTAATCCACAGAAAATTTAATTTGAGCATTTGTCTTTGTGTATAGAGAGCAAAGCAGAGAGATCTTTGTTTTAGAGTGCATCTGGCAATGCAGAATTAAACCAGCATGGATTGTTGCTGACTTAACCTAGCTTGCTCTGACACCAGCTCACTGATACTAATGCTTGTAGGAAGTCAGGAAATAATATTTTATTGAACATATTAAGAAAAGGTGCATTTCCTAGAAGGTTTTATCAATATAAGTAGAGAAATTGCCTGAATTATTATAGAGAGAAGACACTTTGTACCTGTGAAGTCTGCAATGTTATATCCTAATTGTGAGATTAGGAAGCAAAATTATATATTTGGCTCCTTGCAGGAAGAAGAAATGAGGAATTGGGAACAAACAGAGATTGATGGTTTATATTTGATGCTGTGAATAGCAGACACATACAGAAACATATCCTTCATTTGGTGCCCATTGCCTGTGTTTATGAGATGCATGCAGTAGTTTAAAGAGGCAGACTTCCCTGGCCTTAACGGTAGAAATACTTCAATGGTGAATATTGTCTAGGTACTAGTAGTTACTGATGTGTGGTCAATGACAGTGTTGTGCTTCTATTCTATAGTATAAGGGTACTTCCCAGATCAATATAGAGGAGAGATACCAGATAGTCATTAGAAATGTCAGAATCGCAGTCCAGATGTAGGGAAAGAAACTATCAAGGAGTAGCTGAAAGGGTAATTTGCAACTAAGTGTTTATCCTAATAACTTGGAAAAAAAGGCCATGGACAATGAAAACAATATTTGTTCGGTCATCAGATCTTTATTGTGAGCCTATTGTGAGGTAGGTACTGAGTTGAGCTGGCAATATAAAGTTTAGCAAAACCAGCCACTTGTATGTACATAGTTTATAATCTCCTATAGGAAGTAGGCATTAATCAGATATTCACACTGATATATATATTTATATGTAAAATGGAATTAAGGAAAAAGCATGGGTGCTGTGAGAAGCCATGGACTAGTGATACAGGGAGGTTTCTCTGAAGAGGTAACCATTAAATTAATGTTTGATATATGCTAGAAGTTAATTAAGTGATGCAGAAATTTGGCATAGCAAAGAATCTTTTAGGAAGTAGGAACAACATGTTAGAGGTTACTAATGGTGTTAGGACAGCTACAGTAACTATCTCACAAAAATTCCTAGGGCTCAGAGCTTATGGAAAAATGATGAGAGAACAGGAGAGCAAGAGCAAGAGAGACAGAGATTTATATGTCAATCCAAGCCAGGTCCTTAATGACTCAGGTCCATTATGTTTCCAGTCTCCCTCTTAATAACTAACATGTTTGTATATAGTGTGTATTCAAGAGCTCTCTGAAGATGGTTCCTTACCTCCTTTCTGTTGTTGTTCTAGAAAAGTAATTGAACATCTGCCATATGCAAACTGTAGCCTATTTTGAACACTGGTCAGAGTTAGGGAATGTAGTTGAAGAGACGAAACTCAATGGGTCCTTGGCAGGTAAATGACAAACCAGGATAAATGAGTAGACATAGCAGAAAAACTTTTTTTTAAAAAACAAACAGCTGTTTAATTTAAGAGAATTTTTAAATTTACAAAACAGAGATTATTAGATTGTACAAAAATTTCCCATATACACACACCCAGCTTCCCTTATTAACTTATTATATTAGTATGATATATTTGTCAGTATTAATAAATCACATCTAGCTTCCCCTATTATTAACATCGAATATTAGTATAATATAATTATCACAATACAATTCAATATAGTAAATGTAATTATAAAAGCATGATTTACATTGTGGTACTTATTGACAGTTCTAGGATGAAGTGTAAGAAATTTTCCTTGATTGCAGTTATAAATGTATATAAAGCGAATGATCTTTGATGACTGCTGAATATTTGCATAAAACACTAAGAGGAGACATTCTATACAATTCACTTATGTATGACAGAAAGTAAGGTGAGTGTTATGTGTTTTTGGAAATAAGTTTATTTTGGTATCCAGAGTTGGCTTCAGATAAGGCAGCCAGGTTACCAGTGGAAGTTGACATGGGAGTTTAGAGATCTGAATTCTAAATTCATGGTTGATTGCAGAACTTGATAATGGAGCAATCATACAGTAAAGTATTATTTAGTCATGAAAAAGAATGAAATTCAGTCATTTGAAGTAAATTGGATGGAACTGGAGAACAATTTGCAAAGTTAAATAGTGAGAAACAAAAGAAAAATAAAACATATGGACCTCATATATAGAAGCTAAAGAATGTCTACCTGAACATGGGATATTAATTACTACAGCTTTAGAGGAGTGGAAGGTATATTAGAAGGCTAGACAATGGGTAACAACTTGCAGTCAGATAGAAGGAATAAGTTCCTAAAATGTTACATATCACACACACAAATGTATATATAACATACATATACATATATATAACTTCTATATTTCTGTATATATGTCATATATAACTACATACATATATAACATATATAACTATATAAATATAATATATTTATATATAAAATAAACATATATAACATGTTATAACACATATACAACATATATAACTATATTATATATAGTTTATATGTGATATAGTTATATATAATAGTTATATATATAACTATAGGAGTTATATATAGTAATTATATATATACACACTATATATAGTATATATATAACTATAGGAGTTATATATATAGTTATATATATTTATATAGTTATATATAGTTATAACTTCTAGTTATATATATAACTATAGTTATAAAATTTATATAGTTATATATGCTATATATAATATATAAATATATAGTTCTATATGTTATATATAACTACATGCATATATATAACTACATAAATATATATGTATATAGTTATTTATGTGTGTATATGTAAATATAGTTCACAATAACATACTATATATATTTTCTGAGCAAATAGAAGAGAGGAGCTTCAAGTATCCTTTCATAAACTAATGAGAAAGAGAGGGAAAGATTAATTATAGCAATTTGATTTGATCAATCTATATTATATTCAATGCATGTATTGAAATTTCACATTGCACCACAATAATTATTATTATTAAAAGAAAGAAATTTTAAATGTTTTTAAGTGTGGCAAACAAAAAAATTGAAAATTGAAAAGAAGGAAATTCTAAGCAGGGTATTCAAATTCCAGGGTAAAGTTGAAAAGAAGGCCAGAGACAGGGCCTTAATAAGACTTTTTTAAAAAGATTATTTATTTGAAAGGCAGAGAGAGAGAGCAAGAGAGAGAGCACTACCAGGATGGTTCATTTTCAGATTCCTGCAACAGCTGAGGAAGGCCAGGCTAAGACCAGGATCCTGGGTTTTCATATGGATCTCTCATGTTGGTGGAAGGAATACAAGTAATTGGGCCATCATCCTCTGCCTTACCAGGTACAAGAGCAGGATGCTGAATCAGAGGTAGAGTAGCCAAGACTAGAACCAAGTTTAACATCGAATGCATACATCCCAAGCTGCAGCTTAATGCATTACGCTACAATGCCCACCCTTTATCTATGAAATAGATGAAACTTCTTCTATTTATTTATTTATTTATTTATTTTATTTTTTGATAGAGTTGACAGTGAGAGAGAGAGACAGAGAGAAAGGTCTTCCTTTTTCCATTGGTTCACCCTCCCGATAGTTGCTGTGGCTGGCACGCTGCGGCCGGTGCATGGCGCTGATGTAGCGAGGAGCCAGTTGTTTCTCCTGGTCTCCCTTGCGGGTGCAGGGCCCAAGCACTTGGGCCATCCTTCACTGCACTCCTGGGCCACAGCAGAGAGCTGGACTGGAAGAGGAGCAACCGGACAGAATCTGGCACCCCAACTGGGACTAGAACCTGGGGTGCTGGAGCCACAGGCGGAGGATTAGCTTATTGAGCCCTATTTATTTTAAAATGTAAATGAAAAATAAAATGATCCTTAAAAAATTTCAAAAGCCCTAGGCTTCTTACTTATTACCTGCTACCTTCTCCCTTTACCAAAACATTAAAATGTACTGACCTCACAAATCAAATGAATTGATATTGCTAAAAAGGATTTAGTTGAATTTTAATTAGTAGTTGGTATTTTTGTAGCCATCTAATTCATGCATATTAATTTTGTTTTTTTTTTTCAGGAATTTAATTTTTAGATGTATTTTATTTATTTGAAAAGAAGAATTAGAGAGAGGGAAATATATAGCTCTTCCATATACTGTTTCATTCTCAAAATGGCCTTAATGGCCAGGACTGGCCTAGGCTGAAGCCAGGAGCCTGGAGCTTCATCTTGGTCTCCCATGTAGGTGCTGGGACCCAAGTACTTGGCCATCTTCCACTGCTTTCCCAGGCGCTCTAGCAGGGAACTAGATTTGAAGCAGAGCAACTAGGACTCAGATTAACGTCCATTTGAGATGCTGGCATCACAGGTGGCAGCTTAACCTGTTAGGCCACGACACTGGCCCCCGTTTGATTGATTTTTAGCTGAAACTCAAAACATTTTCGTAGACTCTTGAAAACCTTTTGGTTCTGGCTTTAATGCCTAATGACACAACAGCCTTAACCGGAGAAGATAGTTATGGTAATAGGTAGGAGCGTGTCGTCATGGCCTCCTAATGATCATTAGAATAAAAAGTGAGGCATTAGCAGATACATCAGATCAGTTTTCTTCAATATTAGACATCAAATTTTCAAGGGAGTAGTAGTAGGTTGAAATTTGTGTTCAATTTCTTAGAGTGAGCTGGATTTTATATGGCAACATTCCAGATGTATTTTTAAACAGTGCTGGTGTTAAAAATCAAACAGAACAAAAACAATATTACTTCTCAAGCTACTCTAGCATTCTGAGCCTTGCTCACTGCTTTTCATTTTAGCCCCACAGTATGCAAAGCTCAGTTTTGCCTCAAATAGTTTTAGTGTTATCTCCTGTGAATTGGTGAATTCCTTTTGGACTATTTATTTGGCCTGTGCTGGTTTTGAAGAAACTGGAGTTACTACTTTCCATATTGTGTTTTTGATGCTTTATAGTGATCTAGGTGGAGTGCTTACTTAATTTTCAATAGAAGATCCTAAGTCATAAAAAAGGCAAGTAACGTGCATGGCTTCAAAGTCATTAGCAGTGAAAATAATACTAGAATTCATATTTTCTAATTCTTAGTTTTATGTTTTTTCTTGGTCTTATGCTTCTTAGCTTTCATATGTATTAAAGAAAATAAATAAGTCCTTTGAGTATCATGTAGTAAGTAATTGAATTAAAATAGGAGGGTAGTTCAGAAAATTTATGGGAAATAGCCTTGTGATATTTGTTACAAAATTTTTTTGAAATATATGCATAAAGGAAGTTTTCAATAAATTAATGTAATGTTTATCATGAAAAGCTATGCATTGATTTCAAATGTTTTACATCAAAATAAAATTATAGTTTTATTTAGTTTTCCAAGTATCCTCATACTTGCACATGCTAAAATGGTGACATTAATATTAGTTAACCTCTTTAAATTGTTTTACAGAGTAGAAGGAAGATATTTCAAACTATTGTCTCTATTTCTCATGGTGTGTATGATTATTTTCCATATTTTAAAGATTCGATAGCTATATCATTTAAGGGACTCACCCAAGATCATAGAGTTATCAGATGTTATTTCCATGAGTCAAGTTTGGTATTCTCATTTCAAATTCTGTTTCCTTTTTGCTGTAGCATATCATTTTCGTCCTCCAATTTCAAAATATTAGAAACCCAGGGCTAGTATTTTGGTGCAGCAGATTAGGCTGCTGACTGTGACTACAGCTTCCTTTTTAAGTCAGTTCCTGTCTGTTCCACATCTGATCCAGCTCCCTGTTGGTGTGGCTTGGAAGGAAGTAGAAAATAGCTCAAGTACTTGGGTCACTGCCATTCATGTGGGTGACCTGGATGGGGTTCCAGGCTCCTAACTTTGCTTTGACCCAGCCCCAGCTATTGTGATCTTTTGTAGAGTGAACTAGCAGATGAAAGATATCTTTCTCTCTCTCTGTCTCTCTCTCTGTCTCTGTCTCTCTTTCTCTGTCTCTCCCTTCATCTGTGGAACTCTGTTTTTCAAAAATTAAAGAAATAAATCTTTGAACAAATTAGAAACCCATAATATAGTTCCAACTAATATGACAATTTAAATCATTTGAGCAAATGTTCATTTTTTTCTGTACACTTATATTCAGTAAAGCAAAGAAAAAATGCAAGAACCTATTTGTACTAGGGATTGTTTATAACTCTAGTGATCTGAATGGCTTTTGAGAAGTTTCAAAAGATATACTTATAGAAATCAACATAAATACTTTTTATCTGTGCTTTAAAATGAGTCTCCAAATGCTTTTTCTAAATGGTAGTTTGTTGGCCTATTTTTAGTTCTTGCAAGTATTAGAATGTAATACAATTGCATTTATTTTAAAATATATTATGATTCATACTTTTAATTAAACCAGATCCTTCTTTTAATCATAGTGATAACCAACAAAATTCACATAGTTTCACAGCCATTTGTTCTCAAGGCACATGTACATTAATTATGTTATATGATCTTGAAAACAATTTTGTGAAATGAGTAATACAAATAAGATCATTTTCATTTCACAGATGAAGAAACCATGGATAGAAATGTGAAGAGATTTGTTTTAAATTATACAACAAAATGTATACAAAAGTCTAGTTGTTTACTGATATTGTTTTATAAAATTTAACAACATTTTCAAATATTCTATTATCACATCTCAAACTCATGAATGCAGGGTAACATTTCTAATTCAGCTTTGTGATTTTACTGCCTAGTACAGTGTTTAGCACATAGTAGGTACTCAGCATACTCGGTGCATTTTTTTAAGATGTATTTTATTTATTTGAGAGGCAGAGTTACAGAGAGAGAGAGAGAGAGAGAGAGAGAGAGAGAGAGAGACAGGTCTTCCATCTATTGGTTCACTCCCCACATGGCTGCAACGGCCATAGCTGAGCCAATCAGGAGGCAAGAGCGAAGTGCTTCTTCCAGGTCTCCCACATGAGTGCAAGGGGCCCAAGAACTTGGGTCATCACACTTGGGTCATTTTCCACTGCATTTCCAGGCACATTGGCAGGTAGCTGGATTGGAAGTGGAACATCTGGGACTCTAACATCTGCCCATATGGGATGCTGGTGCCACAGGCAAAGACTTAACCCACTGTGCCATTGCACTGGCCCTGGTGAATGTTGTTTGAAGTCTTGAAGGAAAATGACCTTTGGAAAGATTGTGATGAAGGAAGCCTACTTGTAAAGTGTGTGACATCTTAAGATTTATTTATTTATTTTTTTGGAAAGGAAGGCGCTGGTTTTCTTCAGATATTTTGGCCTCTGAATAAATGTATGTAACCTGACTGTTACACAGCTCCCCTGAACAT